ACTTTTTATGATCTGCAACCGCAAAACCTACTGCTGCACACGTAAACTACAGTCACAAGCTCACTAGTTCCCCTCATCAGTAACAGAGGGTCAATTCTTGTGGCCATGTACAAAATAGTCAGAAGTCATAGGTCGCCTAAACTGCGTCGCACATCCTGATTTCACTTGATCGTGCCACCTTCTCCGCTTTCGAAGCGGCTCTGTTGTAGTGCATAACGCCGTTGCCTTCTCCTTGACGAACTTTTGACGGGTTCCTGCATTTGTTCAGGTAGCTTAGTTAGAGCTTTGAACTAACCCAATCTATCAAGTCTTGGCAATGTCGGTATGTTGTCAAGCCTGAGACTTTGTACCCCTTCTGTTATTAAGATGACAGGCTCCTTCTGAAAAAACTCTGCTCCACACGTGATGAAAAATGCCAAGATCACGACTAATGACAATTCCGTGACTGCTTTGATGAGTTCCCGAGTCGAGATTTTTCACCTAATTTGAAGCAAGATTTGAGCGGTTTGAGCGGTTTTTTTAGACAATTACGCTCAAAATCTTGCTTCAAAATGAGCGGTTTGAGCGGTTTTTGAACGGTTTATCTAAAAAAACCGCTCAAAAACCGCGCAAGATTTGAACGGTTTTGAGCGGTTTATCTAAAAAAACCGCGCAAGATTTAATAATAAAAAGTCGATCACAGAGGGATTCGAACCCGCAATCTTCTGATTCGCAGTCAGACGCCTTATCGGTTAGTCTATGCGGACTTGCTGGAAACTTAATATTCGCTGTATTTGTTCTACTGAATATACTGTCACAACAAATATACTGTCAGGATTTATTGTCAGTCTCTACAAAATAACAAAAATAATCGATTATAAGAATGCGGGGAACAATGCAGACTCTATAGTTCCCCGCATAGAGTCACACACAGCAGACTCTATAGCCAGCCTAACTCACTGTCTTTCAAAGCAAACAGTCGTGGGGGATGGATACGTTGGGGGGGGGGGATACATTGGGGGGGTACGTTGGGGGGATGGGGGTAGGTACGTTGGGGGGGGGTATTCATTTGGGGGGGGGGGGGGGCAGGTTGGGGGGGGTATATACGTTGGTGGGAGGGGGAGGGGGTACGCTAGGGAGGAGGTTTGTTGGGTGGGGGGGGGGGGGGAGGAGGAGCTGGTCACAATGTTGTTTTTGGGCACTTTTTGGAAAATTACTACATATTGGTCGCCCCTGGATGAACGTGTTCGTTCGAGTTTTGCAGAGAAGAGAACCGCTGAGTCTGGGACCTCGACCCGGGAAGACCGCTCAAAAACCGCTCAAATCTTGCTTGAAAAACTGTTCAAAAATTACCGCAAGAAATGAGCGGTTTTTTAAGCAAGATTTGAGCGGTTTGAGCGGTTTTTCCAAAAAAAACCGCCCAAACCGCTCAAACCACTAAAATCTTGCTGGAAAACCGCTCAAACCGCTCAAATCTTGAGCGGTTTTTGAGTGGGATCTCGACCCGGGTTCCGTGACCAGATAAAGTTAGAGTCCAGGATGTTGCCACAGTCGCCCAGCTCATCTTGTCTACAAACTCTGATTTGGTTTCTTAAATCAAGGCTCCCCATGGGCCAAACTAGATGATTGCTTACAAAAGGTTCGAGTGGAATCTTTTCTATTCCAAAAAGTTTTACAACGTAAATTCACAATGTCACTTCTCTTACATTTCTCGCAAGTGTCACACATTTTTCACTGAGATATCTTGATCGATTAAAGTTTGTTAAGTTTTCATTCGTCCCTCTCATTCGTCCAATTGTCCTAAAAATTTGAGCATTACTGGTCGTTTCAGTCCTGTTTCCAGAACTGATGGTGTCCCGTAGCTTTGCTCTATCGACAACACCTGTTTCTTAAATGCCACTCTGTTTAGGCCACAACCAGCTTTGCCCTCATATACACTTCCCCCCTCTTCCTTAAGTTCCCGGGAAAAGTGTCCTAGCTGTATTTTCAATCTGCCTCTGAAGGGGCGATTCTCAATGCAACCTTCTCTATCCAGTTGTTGTTGTGCAATGTTGCCAGGAGAGCTAATCTCTGGCACTTGATCAATTAGTTTCGAAAAGGCTGCCGGAGGATTCAGCATGGAAAAGCTGTCCTCCACCTGGCTACTCATTCTCGCCGTTGCTTCTATTTGATCTTCTTCGTCATCGAGCAAATCAAAGTTTGAACTACAGATTCCATCTGTCGAGCCTTTCTATCTCGTTATCCTTACCAGTTGGCCCTTGATCCATATAAGGTTCATCCATGTTTTGATCACCTGTCACTGGATCTCTGACTTCCTGTCGGTGCTAATTCCGACCATCTTTGCTGTGGGTCATTGATTTCATCTATCGTAAAATTCGTCACAATCGGTGGAGTTGTCTTGAACGCATCCATTCCTATTGCTCCAAGTCGTGGAGACAACTGCAACCACTTGTTTAGTTCGAGTTTGGTTTCTTAAACCAAAGCTTCCGATGGGCCAAACTAGATGATTGCTTACGTAAGATTCGAGTGGAATCTTTTCTTTTCCAAAAGAAAAATCGCAATGCAAGATAGTAGAGCCTTAACCTAACATTTGAATCGATTTTTGTCTGAGAGACCTGACTTCAAAAATCAAATTGGAAATTCTAGCTTTTTTGTAAAAGGATTTTTTATATTCTTTCAGTTTTAATAAGTTTGATAAAGGCAACAATTTTCTGTAAAAATTAACGGATGATCAAAGGAACTATTATTCATCCAAAACGCCAGTCAGACGCAGTGTCTCTGTTGTTTTGGCTTTCAAATTACTTGAATCCCCCAACCCTCTACATATTAAAGCAGCACCGGCAGTTGAAAATACTATTCGTTCCTCCAGTAAAGCTAATCCTTGATTTTTTTTTTTCATTTTACTAATTTTAATTTTTCAAATTTCGAATTGTTAAGAAAGTACTCTCCGTTTAATCGCTAGCTCGCTGTCATTTGCATTTACCCCTTTTGTCAGTTCTTTGCTTCTGAACACAGGTGCCATAAATCTCCTGCTTACAAGCTGATGATAAAATAATCATCCAGTACAGTTGAATTTCGATCACAACTTACCTCTCTTTGTTCACTTGGGTACCTGAATCTACAATCAGTTTTCATATGAGAGAATACGGGTCTAGTTGCTCGAATTATGTTTTTTATGTTTTGACTTTGAAAGTCGAGTAGGTGCTTTTTTTGACTGAAATTCCTTTGTCGAAAAGCAATTTTAAGTCGGGCACAAAATCGAAACATACCCAATTTTGGTCGAACGAGTAAAAAAATGGGCCAAGAAAGTCAAAAAAGGTCGAGCATAGTCGAAAAATACCTGATGTAGGTAAGAAATTCAAAATATAGTTCGCGCACAGTCGAAACATAGGTCAAGCAGAACCTATTTTTTCAAATTTTCAATTTTTTTTTCAAGCCTTAAATTTACCTTAAATTGGAAATTGTGCAAAAAAAAGTTTATTCTCTCGTAAAATCAACAGTTTTGGCCCAGGTTTGTAAAGAATATAAAAGCGAATTTGAATTATTCAACTTCAAATACAGATTCAAATATTTTATTTTCAAATCAAGCAGCACAAAAAACCGACTAAAAAGCATATATTATAACTTTTGTCATTTTATTTATGTTATTTGATGGTCGAGAAAGTTGAAACATATTTCGAGCACAGTGGAAGTATAAGTCGAGCACAGTCGAAACATGCCCAATTTCGTCCAAGAAAAACGAAAAACACGTCGAGCATAAACACTAAATAGATCGAGCAAGGTCAAAACATTCGTCGAGCACAGTCAAAACATTCGTCGAGCACAGTTGATACATAGGTCGAGCAGATTTTTTGTAACAAGGCAAAAACGAGAAAATCTTTATGAAGGCACAATAGAAACTGTCTCACTATCGCAGCTATTTGATTGATATTGAAATATATAAAATGCTAAATCAAAAAATTTACGTCTTCATAACCAAAACTTAAGACAAAAAAGTAAATCAGATGTGTAATCACTAAAAGACCAAAAAAAACCTTTTGAACGGCTTTTTGGAGCAACCACAGCCGACAGTAAAATAAGAACTTGTAGCAAAAGTCAAATTATGTCCATGTGGGGTCGAACCGATATTTTTTTTTAAAAAACTTCCCACCCGCTGTTTTAAAACTCACGATACGCAGGCGCACCTGCATCGTTAATTACTTAGCCTTTATTGCTCTTTGAATTTATGATTTTTGAGAAAATTACAACCAATTGAGCATTGAACAATTGATTTAGCTATTCATTGACTTAAAATTTGCAATCAGATTGATATGTTGAAAAATTTTCAACAAGAAAAACATTTTTCCATTTTAAATCAAATGAACGTTTGTACAAACGGGACGTCACCCTAGTGCATATCTAAAACTCGCTGACATTGAACACTGCAGTGCCAGTCATTGTTGAAAATGATTAACAAGAAGGCCCACCATTGAATTCTTGTAGTACACTGTTGTGTAGAGGTAGTTTTTCATAGCTCTTTTATATAGACAGGAGAGTTTATGGTTGATATAAACTTTACCAACAACTTTTCCCTACAGCTCTCGAAAAGTAAGACAATAACAGTGAATGGTATGATCTTATGGAACTTTTAAAGCAACTTAGAGATGACTAGATGAAATATTGAATTGGCTCTCCATTTTTATAGGAGCGAATTGAAAGGGGGTCAACAAAATTGCAAAAACAGCTTTTTTGGTTTGTTTGTTTTCTTCAAAAAAAATATGTCGCAAAAAATCAAAGTGTTGTCTGTGGTAATTTTCTTCAAAACTGTTCAAAAGTTTTGAATACATCGTTGTATCTTAGATATTTGAATGAATCGTTTCTTCGTTATACCATCAAAAAATCATAGAAAAGAAGTTTTAAGAAAATTGATTTAAAAATGATTTTCAAAAAATCATTTTTTTCTCACATAAAAACTGCAGATATTAAAAAATAGAAAGTCCTGAAGTTTGTGTTGGTTGGAGGAGTATTAATTGATAAATTGATTAATAGATAACAAATTTTTATTTAAAAATAGCAAATAGATAAAATAGTAAATAATCAAAGTCATGTTCGGTGAGTTTACATCTCTTTAGCAGTTAAAGTAGAAATTTTTGCTGGCTATTGAGTGTAACACATGACGATCTTCTTGAAGCTGACGAACACCCCCTTGTTCTTCACACTGAAACAAAACTTTACAAGAAGGGTATGAAACAAGGGGGCGGGGGTTATTATAACTATTGATTTGTGGGACCCAAAATAAATTTCTGGCAACAAGTTTCTAGAGAGCTACATCATATAACTTAAATGTATTCGGTAACTTAAATGCATTCTACGATCATTTTTCACTATTTCTTTTTTAAATTTGTTATCATTCCTTAACACCAACTAAGGACTAAGTCCCTTTTGGCCATGACTGTCAAGTAAAACGTGGGAGAAAGGGTGAGGCATTGCGAAGGTCAGTGTTACAATAAAAAAAGGGTTAAAATCTAGAATGGGAAAATCATAAAAGCTGTCCTCGCTTAAAAGTTCTGTCGAGTAAAAATTTGGGTAAATGGTTTTCGAGATACTTTTTACAGCTTACCATGTAAAATAGCGATGGTCTTGAAATGTTCCATCGTGTTTTCCTTCTGAAACATCATGAGAAGTTGTTCAAAAATAAATCAGCATAGCAGCATGCTTAAATTGATAAAGTAAACATGTTGTTTTTCTAAACCTGCATCTATTAATTCCACCCCAAGGTAATAGTCGCTTCTGGACGGAAGAGTGCCAATGTATTTGACGATTCCCTGGCTGATTTTGCCGCCTGTCCTCGAGAACTTGATCTTGTCCCCGACACTCATGTCGGAGGGTGTCTTGGGAACATAAGGCCTCCCACTTTCAGGCGGCCTGTTCGTAGCAAAATAGAATCAGAAGACTAACACTCTGAGCTGAAGCCCTCAAGTTGGAGACGTGCAAAAGATGCAACAAAAAAATTATTTAAAAATGCAAATGACCCACTTCAGACAAATTTTGCATGTAAAAGACAACTTTTCAGACAGCAAGTATCTCTCAAGTTCATCTAAAATTTCAAATCGCATGCAAAACTGCTCAAAACTGATAGATTGCTGTTTTTAATTATTTGTATCTTTTCAAATTTATTATATAGTTAACGTTGGCAATAAGGAAATAAATTTTGTAATAATCGCGTCGTCGAACAACTTAAACGGTCAACACACGATCTTTGTAGATTAACGAGATTTGCACATCGTTTTCTACTCGCAGTGACAGAAATGGATAAATATCGATTATCAACTGAAAAATATACAGATTTCATTTCTTTGTAAATTTTATATAGTAAAATTTCGATTATGTAGTTCTAATAATCGATTATAATGCATTTTGTTTTGCAAAAGTTCTATACTGTATATCTTCCTCATATAAGCCTTACCAAAACACTCTAAAACTGTGTTTTTTTTCTGTATCAAATTGCATGCACACTATTTACAGATTGTATCCAGATTAGCAGAATATATACAAATTATCTACAGATTATCTACAGATAATCTGCAGGTTATCTACAGATTATATACTGATTTTCTCATCATTATCACCAACCATATAATATTAATATATTGAAACAAAATTATAATGTAGGCTCTTCAATGATTTTGTACTGAAGTTTGATCTGGAAAAACTTTAAAATCATTATTGTGGAAAAAAGTTGCTGTCAAAACTAATTGCTCTATGTTAATTTCTCTAATTTTTCATGGATAATTTCTACTAAAATTGCGATGAAAAAATTGATCATTTAAATGATTTTTGAGGAACTTCTGCACAAAATGACTTCTTTTGCCGCGGAAACCCTAAGACTACAAAATTCTAGATGGATCTCTTGAAGTTTGTTTTTTGCGGTAAACAGTTTTCCTCGAGTGAATTAAGCTCACTTTAACACTCAGGAAAATTTTATCTGATTACAAATTTTTGTTAAACTTGTGAAAAAAAAATCATTAATTTAAATTTCGAATGATCAAAAATGAAATGATTACAACCCCCATAGTTATTATGCATGCTACCAATTTTATACAGATTTTATCCAGATTATATACGGATTATCTATAGATTTTATCGTATAAAAATAATAAACTGATTATATGCAGATTATGGTTAGAGTTTTATAGAATAGAAAAATCGAATATTTTGCTGAAATCTTCTGGCGAAAAATCTTCTTCGACTTTTGGCGAAAAAGTTGAGTCTATCTGTATAGAATCGATTATCGTTCGGAAAAAGGTGGTAGATAAATCGATTCTATTCTTACGTTAAACTCTAGATTTTGCTGTGTAAAATCGATTTTTATCCATTTTTGTCATTGCGAGTAGGTGGTCGGTTGTTAAGGGTTGGTCGACCAAAATTGGATGTCATAAAAGGAGTGTACGCCCCCTCCCCAAATCCGCCCCCTGTATCCAGGTTATAGCATAAGATTAGATTTTTTCACTTAGATTTCTTCACTTTTACCTGCAGAAGCTTCTGGTCTGTCGGGTAGACCCTCCTGTACGTGATCCATTGCTTGAAAGAGGCTTCTGATTCAAGGGGAGATTCCAAATATGACTGATCGATCTGTCTGCTGAAATGAAAAAAAAAACCTGCGTATTATTTTACTATCATTGTTGAATCTACAAATGCAGTTTTTCTCCAAAATTCTGACAAATAACCCATTGGTTTTCTAATTTGCGAAAACTGTTTGATTCCTTTTGTGTTCGGGTAGGTTCGAAAACAAATGAAAATTTGAAAATTCAACCAAAAAAATTGGAAGTCCAGGCCTGGACTCTTAAGATGTTCCAGGAAGTCCAGGGCAATCCCTGCAAGACTTTGACATCATTTTTCCACTGGCCAGGTTACCCGAGCCCGTTTTGGTAAAACTAAGATTTCAAATACAATTGTGAAACATCTAACACTTCGGGCACCAGATAATCAAAAAGTTTACTGTTTTAAATAATAAATCTTCATGTCCTATATATATCATTTTTTTTTCAAATTGTCCAAGAGCAGAAAAAGGAGAAACATGTTCATTTCAATACGCTAATCGGTAAAAGCAAGTATTAGAATTTTCAATACTACCCAACAAACGAATAGATTATGTGTAAATTGATAAATTGAATTATTTTATCAAGTTTTTTATTTTGAAATGCAAAATCAATTCGTTGAAATTATTTAGTTAAGGTATAATTTGTTAACTTTTTGGTATCATTGTTGATTCTAATAATAGTTTTCACCGATTAGCTCGTGTAAATCAATGTTTGTCTGTTTTTCTGCACTTAGACCCTTTTTGCTCTCTTAGACCAAACTGCTCGTTGACTGGCTTCCCATTTTTTATGTTGCATCGGCAGTAGCTGCTTTGAATAAATTTGGGGGAATAAGGTAAAAACAAGTGTGGTTCTTGCAATTCGCCAAAGTCTATGAAAGGCAAATAAGCCTGTCTAAGAAGAGGTGGTTTGATTATTCACGGAACGCCATGATCCGTATTTGTAACTAACAACAGAAGTTAGCACAAAAATAGCACCACAATAGAGTTTCTTGAATAAATGACTTACCATCGTCATTGCGGTAGCTAGACAGGACGTCGATTGATAAACGCATGTCATTTGAATCATTCGGGTTACTCTCAGCTCTGAATCCGAACAGATTCGGTTCCTCGGTAATCACATCCCGATTATCTCTTCTCGCTTCTGAAGCAAACGAGGCGTTTTTTATTGTGGAAATAATGATAACAGGGGATCCTAGGCAACAAGAGAACGTTTGAAGCACTTCATACTATTAACAAATCATGCAACGATACTAACTCTTTTCTTGGTCATATGCTGCCAGTAGCTGAGTCGGTTTGTTCACATGCGGACTTTTTGAAGATTCCTCTGAAAAACAAAGAAAATATAGAATGACATTATGGGAGAGGAGTGTCCGCATTTTGGGCACTTTTCCAAAACGCTTGACCAAAAATAGCCAGTTTGTGGCGCTCACTCCCCCTGAAAGCTACTATGAGATGATGCCGAAGGCAGCCTTCAAAAAATTTTAGGCCGATATGCTAAAACTATATGCCGTTAAATAGTACCAAAGGCGGGACCTCTTGGGTGTGAGATAAAACTTCGAGAAAGAAAAGCGTCTAAACGCCCTCCCCCACCCCCTAAACCCTCTACTGGTCTTAATGTCTTCATAGTGTTCTGGAAGAGTATGCAAGAAATCGAAAAATCAATCACAGTCGGCCCTCTGATAATCGTAATGACGTATATAAACAGCTGCTCAAAATTGAAATTAGAATGATAGGGTACGCTGCCAAGTTTAAGAACTTGTTGAGTTCCCTGCACTCAGCAAAAAGATAAAAAAGATATAATTGCACTTTTATCAAAGTTATAAATAATTATAAGCGCCGAATTTAGCTGTTTAAATAATTTATGAGCCATTATTTTGATATTATTTTTAGTGACATTATAAAAAATTATCATCAATTAGAAATGATTATAATTTTTCCGAAAATCTTTTATAATTTCTTATAATCTATTATAAAAGATTATAATCCTTTTTTCTGTCAAATATTATTACACAAGAAGATCTACGCGTTATGTTTTAGCTTTTCTCTCAATCAAAATATCTATAATGAGAGATCCTGTCACACTTTGTTTTATCTAAACACAAAGTTTTACCACGAAACAAAAGCTTCTTAGAGATCCCTTCATGTTAGTTGAAAAGTTCCCGCGGCAGGTTAAAAAAATGTCTTCCAAATAATCATGAAACTAAAGCAAAGTGCTGATATTTTGGTGGTTGAAAAACGTAAAATATGCATCATAAAACTACTCTAATTGAGAAAAAATGAAAAAAAAAACGTTTTAGCTTTTCTCTCAATCAAAATATCTATAATGAGAGATCCTGTCACACTTTGTTTTATCTAAACACAAAGTTTTACCACGAAACAAAAGCTTCTTAGAGATCCCTTCATGTTAGTTGAAAAGTTCCCACGGTAGGTGAAAAATATGTCTTCCAAATAATCATGAAACTAAAGCAAAGTGCTGATATTTTGGTGGTTGAAAAACGTAAAATATGCATCATAAAACTACTCTAATTGAGAAAAAATGAAAAAAAAACGTTTAAGAATAAATTGATTTGAACACAGCAAAAAAATTTTCCCATTTTTCACAAAATTCATCGTCTACAAAAAGCGTATAATATAAACATTTCAGATGCAAGGTCGAAGAAAAAAGGGAAAAATTAATAATCGATTATAATCAAAAATAATGGATTTTTTGTGCAAACCATTTGATTTAGAAATTGGGATAAAAGGATAAAAATAGCCGATTATAACAGTTGTATCGGAAAATGGATGGATTAATAATCGGTTAAAATTGATCAAAATGTATTATAATTTTGCTTAAGCCAAAGAGGTTATAATCAATTTTTCATTGATTAAACTCGATTTTTTTCTCAGTTTTCATAAAACTGGTACTTAAATCATAGTGTAACCAATTATTAACGCTTGATAAACTGGATGCGGGTCATCCGAAATTTCAGAAAGCACTACGCTTTGTCACAATAGATCGGTTTCTCTTTCTCAATTAAAATTTTTGCTCCACTTGTATAAAACTGTCTATGCGTATCTCAAAAAAATTAAAAGTATGCAATTAGGACTGAAAATTTTTATCAGAACTTTCATTAATTGAATTGAAAACTACCGGTAAAGTCTATGGTTTTTTTTTCTAATAAAATATTCCTACCTTGGTCGGCGTCGAAGCCATTGGTGAATTTCCGATTGCTGCTTCGTTTTCCAGAGTCTTCTGAACTAGTGCTGGATCCACTGTATGAAGAAGTACGCTCCCTTCTCTGAGGAATGTTCCTAGAAAAATATTGTATAATATTGTCGTTTCATTTTTTGCAAAGGAACTTATCTTCATTGAGACGTCAAAATTAAAGACCGGTTTCAAATTTGTAGCTTTTGTAATTTTCACTGCGATTGGCATTATATATATAGATTGCGGTAAAAAAAAATCATTACGTATGATTTAGAAAGGAGGTTTTGTTAATTCGTTAAAATGAAATTCTTCAAAAAGAGCAGACTTTTTAATAAAGAAGCTTCTGAAAAAATCTTGTTTGCTCTGAGAGAAAGCAAAATTATTAGTTTATTGTTTTGATACCCTCTATTTTTGTCAGTTTTGAGAAACTGCGTCAGAATCTCATAGCAGAACCTTATACTAAACTCAAGCCTGAATGTACGACTTGTATAGTTTCATTAAGCTCTCTTCTTTTGAAAAACAATTAAAACTGATGAATGGCTGATGTTAATGATTTTGTGCACCTATATTTGAACCTATTTGATGTTGATAATTTTAAGTTGTTGATAACCCTTCAGTGTAGAGAAAAACCGGTGTAAAATTTTGAGTTTTTTATTTAACGATTCGGGAAAAAAGCGAAAATACTAAACTCATAGTAGGTTTGAAGTAGTAGTCTTTTAATTCAAGTTAAACAATTAAAACTTACTTGTATTCAAGAGCGGATCTAGGATTTTTCTGAGTGGAGGCGAAATTTTGGAAAAAACAGTAACAAAAAGTGAATTTAAAAGTCAACAAATTTTAAACAAACTCATACAAAAGTGAATCTGAGTTTTTTTGCGGCAAATCTGTTTATGATATCATGAACTATTGTTTCCACTTTTTTGGGGATATATACTAAAACTAATTGCCATAAGAACTCTTCCTTCATATTAGATCAAAGGTAGTTCTTCAGCAGTTTCATACTGGAGAAGGAGCGATCGGCAGTTCAAACTGATACTGGAAGGGTTGCTCCAAATTGAAGCAGGGCGTACACGATTGGCATTGTCGACTTATGACAGATTTTCATTGGAACTTTCTGGTATATCACTGTAAGGGAAGCGCCACATATTCCTCCAGACTTGGAACTCGCTCCCAATGTCGCCATTCAGCAGTACGTTCTGATACAGATCGACAAAATCTTTTTTAGTTGCATCTTTGTCCGAAATCCAGCGAGGAAGGAGCTTGCACATTTTGAAGCAGGACGAGGCAGCCGCTAAGAAACTTTCTTGTAAGTCTAACAGTAGGGCGTCGATGAAAGGCAGGTAGGCAGTTGAACAGAAATGATCGTAGGATGCCGGCGTCTCCGATACTTTATTTCGTTATCACCAACTTTGATAGCGTCAGCATGAATCTTTCAACAGCGACCACTACCTCCACCGTCCCGCCAGAGCTGGGCCTTGTAGTTCCAGAACTGAGCTTTGGAGAGTAACACTGGTGGTTTTTGTAGCAGCTAGTACATGCTTTATTTTCATCCGTGCAATTATAACTCTGATTCCAGCAAGGTACGCACTGCAACCCCTAGCACAACTTTCACCCGGCCAGTTACTGATGTCTTGAGGTGTCGCTTCAACGGCTGGAAGAAACTGAAGGAACGTTAAGACAGCATCATGCTCATCATGGAACTTCAAGACAGCGCTCAACCCATCTTATTGTATCAGAGCCTGGGAATAGCTGTTTTGCCGACACTGGGTAACGTCTTTCTTCTGTGGGCTCAAAAAGCACCCGATGGCTTAGATGAGCCACGGAGGAGAGTGATAATGCGGGAAAACAAGCTGAACGCTGGTCCGATTAGTGGGACTTATGACGACTTGTCAGCTTTCTTTATTTCCTCGATGTCAGCAAAGCAGAAAAAAAGCGCCAGAATAGGCCTCTTCAATCATTGAGTAGACTACAAAAGTGCACTTCACGAGCTGCTGAGGTACAAGTGATCTATTCTCTGTCCTTCCTTGCTTGGTGACAACTTCAATTGGCCAGATTTGCAGTGGGGGTCTGCTGGGACTGTCCAGAAGTGCAAACTTTACATCCGGAGTTTCATCTTTTGTGGTGGCCAAAGGTGTCAGTGGCTCCAAGAGCTTTTTATGTCCAGGTATGGGCGTGTCAGGAGTTGACGGTCCAGGGTTGGCAGGCTCAGGAGTAGTAACATTGGATGAGGGTGCTGACTTGGTGGCGACCTGTGAGAAAGGCCTTGAGCATCTTGAAGCCAGAAGCTTTGAGTCCTTGAGAGCAGCCTGCTTTGACATCTGGGAGGTTGAAGTTGATTGTTGAGGTCCAGTCCAGAGTTCAGTGTGAAATCCAGCGAAGAAGATTTTAGAATGAGCAAGATGGTTTTGAACGGGGTATATATACTATGAATGAGGCAGGTTTCAGATACCTGCTAGCCTCGAGTCTAAAATAAGTCTGATTTGAGGCCTCAAAACTGGACTAACGTTCACACCTTCAGTTTTTCAAACTTTTTGTATTTTCACACCTCTACTACAAATGGAACGGCGCCCAAGGCTCCCTTTGAAAAACTTTTTTTTTTCGAAAAAATATTTAAATGGTGGACCCTTTGGGTTGTGTCGGTGTTTAATTCCTGCGGAGGAGTCCAAAAAACCCCAGCCGTTAAATCCGCTACTGGTTATATTCCATTGAAAACGTTTTCGAAACTTGTTTTAGCGTCTTTTTGGAATACAATACAAAACATCACAAAAAAGTCGGCAAAAAACTGAAATGTTTTCCAGCAATTTATGCATTGTCTTATATGTTTTTTTGTTCTCGAGAGATATATATTTGAAAATTGCTGTCAAGTGCAGGTACTTTTTCTATTTACTGAAGTTGTAGGTTTTCAGTCAGACCAACTCAACACACAAAAAAGGAGGCAAAAAAAAAACGTTTTTTTTTCAGATTTTTTTTGATGGCGGAACTTTGTCTGATACTTGCGCATAAAATGCCTCTACTTGTTTTCTATGGATTTGTTTAACGTTTGTTCTGTGTTTGTATTTTGTTCAGAAAATACCTTAAACTTTTGTGAATAGATCTTGGAGCAAACTGAAGGCGTCGTCAAATTTGTTTTTTTTTTTCAGATTTCAAGGGAGATTCAATTTTTGTATATACAAGGAGTTCTGATTCCTTTGGCTTCCCCAAATTTTTTACTAGATTTTTGCTCTACCATTATTATTACTGATATCTTACTGGTCGGTATCAGTTCAGCTTTTAGTTTCCAAATATGACGTTTTTTAAAAAAAAAAGTAACAAAGAAGAATAGCGGGTAATGTTCAAAAAGCACAAAATGTCCCGACCACATTGATTTAGGTTTCAAAGTGATTCAGAAAATCGCACAAATTTTTTTCCGAAAGTTATAAAACGTTTCTTCTTTTAAAATTTTGTTTTGAAACAAAACTAATATCAGCTTCAATGACGCAGGAAATTGTAACAAAATTAGTAAGCAGTAGAGCAGTGTGTTATCAAGTTTTGAGTTACTTTATCTGAAATACGGAAAACATTAGATCAAGCTTTCTCGACACTGAGAAGACCTTTCAAGTTTTTGGAATCCAAATTATGGCTGAAAAGATTTTAATATGATAGCAAACTCCTTCTAACAAAATTTCTTGATGCAGTCAAAATTGGGCGGATAAACCTATCTATGCTACAGCTCCTTCCCAATATAAGAGAGTAGAAGAAAACAGATAAATCCACAGAAAAACCATAAAAAGAAGCTTGGGTGCTTACCTGGGCCGTGTACTTCGGGTGCGTCTCAGTTTACACTGCTTAACTTTAGTGGCTTTCGCGGAGTTTACGTTACCGTAGGCAACCCCAAAGTCATCTCTAATCACAATAGCCGAAGTCGCAGTAAGAAGATTGTCTGTTGCATCACCGTCGCCGCTTTCGATTTTGTGGTTTGTATCCACGAAGAGTTTTTCGTTCATTTTCGGCAGCCTGTCGTCTGTCGCTTTGGATCTCTGCTCTCGGCGATTTTCTGCGTGCCCATTTTGACTTTCATAGTATTTGTTTGCTGAAAGAACCCCAGTTAAAATACTTAATTTAAAGAAAGGAAAGTACGAAAGTACGTCTTTTTGTTTAAAAAATGGCTCGTGATTCAGGGGCCTTGCTCAAGGGCAATAAAAATGGTTCTTCCAATGAAAATTCTTCATCACTGGAAAGTTTTTCTAAGGTTTAACTTTTTCTAAGGTTTCACTTTCGCTGGTTGAGCTGCCGTGCCAAATTTATGAGAAAATGTTTATGGTTTTTCGGACTGTTCACAAATTGATGAAGAATTAACATTTTTAAAATTAGTTTTTGCTATCTTTGATAAGTTTTCAAGAATCTTCATGACATTCGTTCGTTTTCGAAGTTTTCGAAGATGACTGAGCGTTGGATTTCATACAAAGCGGTCTGAAAGATCTTTTCGGTCAAAAATTCCAATCTCATCGTAGTAATTCAACCAGCACACGCCAAAAATAATTATAATAAATGAGATTTCTGCGATTCGCAGAGTATCTATGAAAGGCTATCAGGTCTGTCTAAGCATAGTCAATGTCTATTATCTCCTCACATCCCAGATTGAGTTATTTTTTTTGAGGTAAGTACTTTTTGCGACTCCAGGCTTTTTTTTGGTCTAGAACTGCAATTGGTACCACTATCGCAGCCGAATTATCAAGTGAAACTCGAAAGCAAAAATGTTGTGAATAAAATCACACCTTGAACGCTCATCGTTTCCGGTTGTGCTTGGAGTGAGGCGAACAGCTCTGAAGGCTTTTTCAGTCTTCCTATGACACCACTTCGGCTCTTCTCAGACATCCTGGAAATGAAAAGTAAGAGCAGAGCTTTTGGCTTGTATTTCAACGGCATTCAAAACAACTGTTCAGTATTGTTGCTCGGAAATGCCTGACAACAGGCTGTATCAACAGTCTAACATTGCTCTGGTTTAAGGGGCCGTGCGCCGAAATTTTTTAGCGGGAGAGAGGTTGATAACAAATTTGTGTCAATTTTTTCGAGCTCTACCGGGCCGCATATTGAAAGTATTTGGGATTTCGAACTATAAATTTTTTGTGAACCTTTTGGAAAGTTACCAAAACATCCCGTTTTTTCGGCGCTCGCTACCCCTTGAAAACTGTATGTATTGGCACCAAAAACGTCATTTAGACAATTTCAGATTGATCGGTCATTAAAATCGTAGCTAAAAGTACCAAAATGGGGCAATCAGAAACGGGGAATATTTTTGAGTGTTTTTAAAATAAAAATAAGGATCTACATATAAAACCAGCAGCTCTTTATTCCTCGTGGGTCAGGTTTCTTAATATCTTAAGTGAAATTTGGTTACTGCCAAAAAATTAGTAAGAAACTAACTATATCCCGCGGTTGAAATTTTGGGTCTCTGAAAGCTTGTCTATTTCGAGAAATCAATGTTTTATAGGTATTTCTGAAAACTTTTTTCTTTTTGATTAATTTTTTCAAATTTTCTTTTGTTTTCAATTGCAAATAAGTGACTATAGTTTTTTTTTTGTTATTGTGAGCGATATGGTCTCTCAGTTTGAACTTTGGCGGAAATTTTCTTACAATAACAAAATGTTTATGGTTCTTGTGATTATTTTTTGTTTCAATTAAAGTGCAGATGAAAATCCAATGAGGTTGAAGTTGTGCCCTGGTTGCCATTTTTTCAAGGTTTGACCTCTTCTCTAAATTTTTAAAAATGGTTGGTATGATTAATATTTTTGGATGATTTTTTTATTCCATAAATTGCATTGACTGTAATTATATGCAATGGCAGGCTCGAAATGGGCGTCATGTATGCTTTTCCTCTCTTCTTTATCCTCTCCAGGATTTTTCTTCGTTATATTAAATATATAATTTATTTTTCTATTTAAAAAACTTTGGTGTTATTGTTTGCTGTAAACATATACTGAAGAAATAAATACTTTCTTCCGTTTTTCTTTCTTTCATTCTTTCTTTCTTTCTTTATTTATTTATTGTTCCGACTTTCGATACGAAAGTAACGGAATATTTGTGCTCGGGTGGGTTTTTTTTTCTTCAGACAAATTTCGACTTTTTAACTAGCCATTTTTGACGGAATTTTTTTTATATCATTCGAAAGGTATTGTTGTCCTGAGCTTAAATTTGAAAAGATATTTCACCTGTGATCATTTTTCGTAAAGTTACGGGGGTTTACAGATTGCCATTTTGGCCAATTTGGGACAATTAACGCGCGATATATTTCGCGCTATTAACGCGTAAGAGGAGAGTTAATCCGTCTTAGAAATCGTTCCAAATTGGTTGAAAGAAGCTTATTTGCCATAATTGATTTGTTACAAGGAGCGAAATCTATCCTTTTGTGCTTAATATGGCGTGTGGGGGGATGATTTTCATAAAAAAAACTTCAAATTTTAGAGAAAAACAATTTCATTTTGTTTTATTTCATTTAGTATCTTGAATGTTATTACTGCTCCATAAACATTAAAAGGCGGTCGGAACACTCAGGGTTTCGCCCTGATACGAGCAGTCTTGTTTATTTTTCTATTTAAAAAACTTTGGTGTTATTGTTTGCTGTAAACATATACTGAAGAAATAAATACTTTCTTCCGTTTTTCTTTCTTTCATTCTTTCTTTCTTTCTTTATTTATTTATTGTTCCGACTTTCGATACGAAAGTAAAGGAATATTTGCGCTCGGGTGGGTTTTTTTTTCTTCAGACAAATTTCGACTTTTTAACTAGCCATTTTTGACGGAATTTTTAAAATATCATTCGAAAGCTATTGTTGTCCTGAGCCTAAATTTGAAAAGATTTCTTACCTGTGATCATTTTTTCGTAAAGTTATGAGGGTTTAAAGATTGCCATTTTGGCCATTTTGACCAATTTGGGACAATTATCGCGCGATATGCGTGAGTTATATCGCGCGTTAATTGTCCCAAATTGGTCAAAATGGCCAAAATGCCAATCTTTAAACCCTCATAACTTTACGAAAAATGATCGCGCTAATAACGCGTAAGCGGAGATTTAATCCGTCTTAGAAATCGTTCCAAACTGGTTGAAAGAAGCTTATTTGCCATAATTGAATTGTTACAAGGGGATGATTTTAATAGAAAAATTTTCAAATTTTAGCGAAATTTTTTTTTTTTTCATTTTATTTTATTTCATTTTATTTTTTTATGTTGTTTTTGTTATTACTGCTCCATAAACTTTAAAAGGCAGTCGGAACTATCAGGGCTTCGCCCTGATACGAGCAGTCTTGTTTAATTGAAGCGCACAGTCGTACCAGAATTACACCTCAATTTCCGGAAATTTAATTTTCTTTCTTATAATTAAAATAAAAATTACTTCCAAACAGTTCAATTTGAAAGAAGATAATGGTATAGCCATTTTGATGGCCAACTCACCCGTTAGACTCCTCGCGACCCTTCACTTGGGCTTTGACGGACGCCAGATGGTCTCGCAGTTCCTCCAATTCTCTCAAGGTTAAGTCTCTTTCGCTGTCTTCTGATCCTCGAGCTCTTCTTGTGGGCGTGAACTTTTCTTGAAGCGTAAAATCTAAAAAGTATGTTTAGCAAACTAGAATATATTTGTTCCGACCACATTCTTAAGTGACGTGGTCTGAACAAAAATACAGTGAGTTAGTGCCGAAATGTCAGTGTTGAAAAAGATGTTGACAAAAAATGAAGTTTTCTATTTCTTTTATGGAAGACTGAAACAACCATCAATTTATTTCACTGATTTATTAGCGTAGGTTATTTACGGTAATTTACTTAGCATCACATTTTGATTTTTAAAATCTATTTCAACGGCTCTTCAATCAAAATAAAAGAGATGGAACTTTTAAAAAGAAAAAAATAGATTTACAAAAAATATGAAAAAGTTTCAACTATTAAGAAAACTTTTTTCATTTTTTCCTTAAATCGTAGGTATTGATGGGAAGGTATTTGTACTTGCGCAACAGCCCGGCTATCAATGCGTAAGCCAATTGAAATTTGCTCCAAAAATACGCTCAGGTTAAATTTAGACGATTAATACTTTTAACGGCATGCATTTTTTATGACTAGTTACTATTGAATTCACAGCCTTTTTTTTTTAGTTCGAAAGAAATGGTTTTTATGAAACGTTTTGCTAAAACCGAACTGTGATTCGAATTTTGGAGAAGTTACAGAAAATGTTTGAGCTTGGCATGGTTTTTTTTCAGCTGCATTTCGAACTTTAACTAGTAAGTAGGCATTTTTAACCAGGCAAGATGTTTTAAGCCTTGTTGGCTTAATGGTGTTCTCCCAAACGATTCTAATTTGTATTTATAAACTTTTATAAATAACTTTGTAACTATCGTTTGGAAACAATTTATTATATTATTATTATAAGCCCTCTAAAACTTTTTGATGTCCTGAGTTCAAATTGAAAAATTTCACCTGTGATCATTTTACTTAAAGTTATGGGGGTTCAAAAACAGCAAGTTAGGCCAATTTGCAATAATTAACAAGCGATACTTTTGTGCTATTTACACGTAAGCGGCAATATGTGCTATTTTGGCTTGAAAAACTTTTAAAATAGATTGAGCCACACTAATTGGTCTGAATAATACGAAATTGCTAAATGTCTGCCTTTGTAGTTGTTAGCATGGATTGTGGGAGGAAAATTGACTGCTAAAAGTACAATAAAACTGAATTGCTTGCCCCAATTCAATTTGAAATGCTTATTTTGCCGCTTGTGCGTCAGCAGGACAAAATATATTGCGCAATAAATATCAGTTTAAAATATAGTCGCCGAAGTAGTAATAAAGTGAGTTATGACTGGAGTGTATAACTCATAGAGTAATTTCGGATAGGGTACACCGTCTGCTCGTCACGCTATCTTATTTTCGGCCGGATAGATTCGTGCAACTTCTTAGTCTAATACCGATCCTAATCTTACTCTTATACTATCTAGTCTCAGGTTGTTTAACTAGTCTCTGCTAGGCTCAATAGATCTAGGGTATACTGGTTTATTGCGGCTGCTGAAGTGCTCGGGAGAGTCCAACTAATTTCTAAGTTAAATTCAAATCTCTCTGGTGCTGAAATTACAAGTAACTTCAGCACTTACAAATAAGTGGGTTGTTAGTTAGATGGATCATGATTGGTTAATATTAAATACTTTACATTGGTAAAATATCTAATTTATCCAATCATAAAATGTAGTTTAGATCAGGTTCCACCCATCCGGGTTTTACAGAGTTTTTTAGAATAATTCTTCTGCAATTCGAAGGATGGATGATGGACGTTGGTTCTTGGCGAACATCATTTTCTTCCGTTTCCTCTTTGTTAAAGAAGTTCCAGGAAGCTGGAGTTAGAGACATAAGACGTTGTGTCTTCTAGTGATAACGACTAAGTCTTTGCAACAAACTCAAATCTGATTTCAGAATGGTTGGCTATGTCAGGTTTTTCTGTTCTGCGTGGAGAACTTCTTTTGTGTCTGATCTAGTTCGGGAATGGCGTGGAGATTGTGCGTGGAGGGGATGCCTGGTTACTCGGAGCTGTACGTATACTTGAACATCGAGGTGGTCATTGGTCTAGTTCAATGAAGTCCTTTTCTGCGAAGTCAAGTCGTACTCTAAATCCTTTGAGTTGTGATTGTGAGTGGCATATCGATTGTGGTTGGCCATTCTCTCTCGAGTGTAGTGGGGTCGTTTTGTCTTTAGATGTTCGTCCTTGGTGTTGTATTGTGATCTATGTATTGCATAATGTAATTTACATTTTATAAAACATTTATTAGTTTAATATTTTTTAATTATGATTTTAGTTAGTTGTTTTCACAAAAGCTTTTTGTTTTAGTTCGGTTATTTTGAAGAGTTACTCACCCTTGAGTAGCTCTTATTAAAAATAGAGGTGTGGTCACAAAGCGTGGATGTAGCGCGGTGGGTTAGGCCGGCTATAGAGCATGCTCAGGACGTCCTTCCTGGTGGGTTAGGCCAGGAGTGGGAGTATGATTTCATGCGGTTTTTGTGAGGGGTCCTGTTATGTGACAACGTTTTATGTTGGGTTTGTTGTGGTTTTTCTTATGTCTTGTTGGTTATGTCCTTTTTCCAAAAAGCAAATTGTTCGTGGTATGGGTTTGTCTTTCGACTTTTTTGTGTTTTATTATTTCTTTCTTAGACTTTATAATAGTCTTCAAAAGAATAAATTATCCAGTTTTAAACTGGGTTAATCCGGTTTGGGTACCGTTGGTTTCCTTTTCTTAGTCATGCTGTTATTCTATGATTTGTGGTATTTAGTAAGCTGCGTTGGTTAGTTTTGTTTAGTATATGATTCCTTTCCAACCGGGTTAAAGGAAAGTTTGAAACATGTTATTATATGTTAGAGTTGTTGAGTGTGAAAACTTGAAACTGAAATTCATTATTTTTAAACAATTCTTCGTGGGCGAGCTGTGCGAGTGTGGATAGAATTTCTGTGCGAATGAATGAAAATATCAAAAGGTTAGTACTGCATTTGCATTTTATTAATTTACTGCATAGAATTTGGAAATTTACTGCTAGTTATGGGGGAATTTTAAGTTATAAATTTTCATCATAATTAGATTTACTGCTTGTGGGGAAAATTTTAGAAATGAATTTACTGCATTGGTATTAAATTTATAAATTTATAAGTGTAAGAGATTAATAGAATTTTTGAAATCTGTTTGATGAAATTTGCGATTTTTATTTGTCTTTTGTGGTTTTTGTAGGTGATTGTCGGATGAAGGCTAAAAATCTAAAGAAAACATGGATAAAGTATGGTGAGTTTTTTAATATTTTAATTAGTTAGTAATATTCATTTAATTCATACTTACCTGTTAGTCGTCGGGGAAAAAACCGTGGGGGAAGATGTCGTGGATGAGATCGGAAGTTGTTAGTAGTTTAGCTAAGATGCGGATGATATTTTTAGTCTGAAGCAGTGGCCAAAGCAATTGAAGTGCCTTAATAGTGGTTAGTTCTTCAGTGCCAACTGCAAACTCATAAGGTGTGTTTTGGATTAGATTATATAATTTGTGATTGAATTTAGTGTTGTGGATGAATTCTAAAATTGGGATTTCTATAGGTTGTACAAACTCGTGCGGGATAAGGAAGGGTCGGGATTCTTCGGCGTTGAAGGTCTTGGTGATGGGACAGAAGATGTACATTTGGGTTATGGGATCATAATTGCGAAGAATACCATGAAGGTTAGTATCTTTAATGCAATATGTGAAATTTAGGAAAAATGGTGAAGTGTATTTGGAATTAATGAATTGAAAACGATGGTGTGGTTGTCTAGAGGGTGTGTGTAGGTCAAAGTGATTTTGGATGAAGCGATAATAACTATATGTGTGGGTTTGTTTAGTGCGCAACATAATATCGTCGTTCGTGTGGTGCAAGGAAATGAAAGGTTAGTGAAAATATTTGGAAGCGTTCTTTAAAACTTTCGTATGCTTGTGTGTCTGTTAGTGTTTCTGAAATAATGTGATCAAACTTTCGGTCGAAGATGTTTAGTGTAAATATATATGGTGTCTTGATGAAAAATTTCTCGGTAATTTGTGGATTAGCGAAGCGATCGTCGTCTAAGAATTGATCTTGGTTAGCTCTGATGATGTTGTGATCATAGTATTCGAGTGTATATTCGTTAGCTCTAGGTGCAGTGTGTGTTTTTAGTGATTTTTTATATCCAACGTAAGTAAATTGTCTAGCGGTTAGTGGTGTAGTGAGTCGATATAGCATGTCCGTATTTCGCTCTATATCGATGTGAGTGTTAGATAAAGGTAAGCAAAGAGGGTTAGTAAAATGATATTATGAGGTCCAAGAGAGAGTGGGCATTAAAACGTATTCATCTACAAAGTTGCGTGTTTCGTTAGTGTCGTGAGGGGTGTTTAAGGTGTATTGTGGAAATGAGGGTAAGGTGATAGCTAAAAATTCTTTTGTGTTAGTGTGTTGTGGATGGTTGATGTATTCACGGGCTGTTCCTGGTTTCGCTGGGAAAGGATGGTTGGGGAACTTTCTTTTAAAAGTGCGGTAAGCTCTATTAGTGTTGAGTGAAGATTCAGTTGATGTGGATGATGGTGCTAATGATTCAGTATAATTTGAAGAGGGTGTAGGGGTAGGGGGGTTGGATGAATTTATTGTGGAGGAGATTTGGTTTATTGTTGGGGTATGGAGGTGGTAGGGTTGTTGTTGAAGGGTAATAAAATTATCTAGCTCTGGGGAGATTCGGGGGGTGTCTGGAGAATGAGATGATTGGTCAGAATGAAATGAGGAGTAGGTTGGGGTAACTTGGGAAGCATAAGAGGGTGAGGAAGTGATTGGGTCAGGGTTATTGGATAATATGGGTTGAAAAGGGGGTTGAGAAAAATTAGAAGAGTTATGAAAATTATTGGATGGGGATGGTTCTGAGTCGGCAAATTCATCGAGGGTTTCAATATTCGGGTTATTGAGTTGTGAGATGGAATATAAAACTGAGATGTGTGAATTAGTGTCGGAATTCATGCCTGATGTTACATTACTAGATGGAAAATCGGGTGGCGGAAAAGCAAAAAGTGGTATTATTGGGATTGGAGAGGTAAGATTG